GCTCGCCCTTGAATGAATCCTTGACGGTCATGAGTGTGTTGATTCACCCGAAATAAATAAAAAGAAGGCAATCGAGGGAGAAAGCAGAAAAACACAAAGACAGGGACCTGTGACACAGGGCCGAGCAGGGTCCTGCTCCTCCCCACTCGACCCCAGCCCTCCCCACCTGCACGAAATAAATAAATAAATAAAACGGACACCTCTGGTAGGAGATGGGTAAAACACCTGCACGAGCAGGATCTTGGGCTCTAGATTTCTCCTGGACAATTCTTTTTTCTAGTGTTAGTGCCAGTGCGCGCCAGTCCCGCGTCGCTGCCCGCGCCATGCTGCCGTCCACACGGCGTCACCATTAGTGTCACCCCACCATTCACACCAGTAGACGGGCGTGAGACTATTACGTCCAATCAGCCCAATTGGCCCAATTGGGGATCCGTCGGGGTGTTCGTATCTTCATTCCCATAACGAGTGCAGAATAGCGCCCAGAGGCCCGAGCCTGGCGGCCGCGCCTGGACTCGCCACCGTGGGGGCGGGCGTTATCGCCCGCTCCCCGCGACGTGGTAGCGGCGGGGCCACGTCCCGCCGCGCAACCTTTGCGCAACCTATGATTCTCAAAGAGCCCAACACCGTCAAACTCCGTCTGTCCGCACCGACATCAAACACCGTCAACATCGTACTGATGCTCACATCCGTCCTCGGCTACAATCTCCTCTGCAGCATGCCTACTGCGCCCTACGGAGACCGAGGCGGAGGACTCGGAGTCAACCCACTGCGACTTACGCCCACGCTCAATACAACCGAGCAACCCGTCATCCTCGACCCAATCGATTCAACCTGTTCGACAAAGCGTTACGACGACCAGTGCCGCGGCCAGATCAGCCACGCCAGAGAGTACATTCCTCCCTGGCTGATTCCCCTCTGGCCCAGCGAGCCTCGTCAAGTTGCATCAAGTTCCTACGTCAAATCAACAGGCGGACGAGCCCTCAACCGTCCCGACATCTGCGAGCAGCACCAGCCGCGCCAACATCAAGGTCAGAGCCAGTGCCAGAGCCAAGACCAACGCCACGACCAAAGTCAATGCCAGAGTCAGCACCAAAGCAATCAGAGCCGACGCCAGTACCAGGGCTACACGAGCCAGAGTCACGAGCAACAGAGCCAACATAGCCGAGGTCAGCACCAATGCATCTGCCAGAGTCAACGTCACAGTCAGCGCCAGCGCCAGCGCCAACACCAGAGCCAAGACCAATGTCACGACCAAAGTCAATGCCAGAGTCAGCACCAAAGCAATCAGAGCCGACGCCAGTACCAGGGCTACACGAGCCAGAGTCACGAGCAACAGAGCCAACATAGCCGAGGTCAGCACCAATGCATCTGCGAGAGTCAACGTCACAGTCAGCGCCAGTGTCAATACAGCCAAGGCCAGTGCCACCAGTGTCAAAGCAGCCAGCACCAGTGTCAGGGCAGCCAGAACCAAGAAGCCGCCATTCAGCAAACCATCCAACTATGGGGGGGCGGCACATGCCAGCAAACCATCCAACTATGGGGGGGAGAAAGCGGCGCAGCGCAGTCTAATAATAGCGCCACAGCGCAAATTCAACTTTCCCGCCCAACCCAGCCCGCAGGACAAGTCAACGTCGCAAGCTATTTCATCCGGGGGGGGAATCGCTACAGGGTTGTACGCTCGACGCCTATCTCCGTTGCCGTCGGCTGGCCCTTGCCCTCCTTCATCCTGCCATCCGGCTGCGGGCCGACGCCGACGCCTCCTGTCGGACCTCTTCGAAACGTCATCGATCGTGGGGGGGCCTGGGGGGAAGGGGGCGGCGCCCCCATACCAGAGGCCGAGGCACCCGCCGAGGCCGGCGTCCCAAAGGCCGAGGCTGCCGCCGAGGCCGCCGCCATTCCAGAGGCCGAGGCTCCCGCCGAGGCCGGCGTCTCAAAGGCCGAGGCTGCCGCCGAGGCCGCCGCCATTCCAGAGGCCGAGGCTCCCGCCGAGGCCGGCGTCCCAAAGGCCGAGGCTGCCGCCGAGGCCGCCGCCATTCCAGAGGCCGAGGCTCCCGCCGAGGCCGCCGCCATCCCAGAGGCCGAGGCTCCGGCCGAGGCCGGCGTCCCAAAGGCCGAGGCTGCCGCCGAGGCCGCCGCCGTCCCAAAGGCCGAGGCTGCCGCCGAGGCCGCCGCCGCCCCAGAGGCCGAGGCTCCCGCCGAGGCCGTCTCAAAGGCCGAGGCTGCCGCCGAGGCCGCCGCCGTCCCAGAGGCCGAGGCTCCCGCCGAGGCCGGCGTCCCAAAGGCCGAGGCTCCCGCCGAGGCCGCCGCCATCCCAGAGGCCGAGGATCTCGCCGAGGCCGGCGCCCAAGAGGCCATTGCCGACGCATACACCGCCGATGTCGTTGCCATTCATATCCCTGCAGTAGTGCGAGCGCAGACCCTAGGGAGCGACTGCCAGCACCCAGGGAGCAACGACACATTCATCGGCCACGTCGGCAAGTCCGTCGCCGACGCCGCCTCCTCCGTCAGCGGCTGTTCCGTCGGCTCCGTCGCCGACGCCGCCTCCTCCGTCAGCGGCTGTTCCGTCGGCTCCGTCGCCGACGCCGCCGCCTCCGTCAGCGGCTGTTCCGTCGGCTCCGTCGCCGACGCCGCCTCCTCCGTCAGCGGCTATTCCGTCGGCTCCGTCGCCGACGCCGCCTCCTCCGTCAGCGGCTCTTCCGTCGGCTCCGTCGCCGACGCCGCCTCCTCCGTCAGCGGCTCTTCCGTCGGCTCCGTCGCCGACGCCGCCTCCTCCGTCAGCGGCTCTTCCGTCGGCTCCGTCGCCGACGCCGCCTCCTCCGTCAGCGGCTCTTCCGTCGGCTCCGTCGCCGACGCCGCCTCCTCCGTCAGCGGCTGTTCCGTCGGCTCCGTCGCCGACGCCGCCTCCTCCGTCAGCGGCTCTTCCGTCGGCTCCGTCGCCGACGCCGCCTCCTCCGTCAGCGGCTATTCCGTCGGCTCCGTCGCCGACGCCGCCTCCTCCGTCAGCGGCTCTTCCGTCGGCTCCGTCGCCGACGCCGCCTCCTCCGTCAGCGGCTATTCCGTCGGCCCCGTCGCCGACGCCGCCTCCTCCGTCAGCGGCTATTCCGTCGGCCCCGTCGCCGACGCCGCCTCCTCCGTCAGCGGCTATTCCGTCGGCCCCGTCACCGACGCCGCCTCCTCCGTCAGCGGCTGTTCCGTCGGCTCCATCGCCGACGCCGCCTCCCACGACAGGGGCTACAGCGTCGCTCCCTACGACGTCGCCTTCCGCACCATCAACCGCCAAACTGCCTCCGACATCTACCAATCAGGGGGGGGCAGGCGCGCACGCAGACAGATTGATGGGCGAACGACGCTCCGCTCTCGACACCCTGCTCGGCCACGCTCTCGAGGCGCATCCGCTCGAGATGCTGCCACCGCATATATTGGCTTCGCGCGTGCAGGCAGGATTCCGCTTTCGATCACCCCCGCTGCTCTCAATCGGGGGGGGGCGTCGCTGCCCGCGCCATGCTGCCGTCCACACGGCGTCACCATTAGTGTCACCCCACCATTCACACCAGTAGACGGGCGTGAGACTATTACGTCCAATCAGCCCAATTGGCCCAATTGGGGATCCGTCGGGGTGTTCGTATCTTCATTCCCATAACGAGTGCAGAATAGCGCCCAGAGGCCCGAGCCTGGCGGCCGCGCCTGGACTCGCCACCGTGGGGGCGGGCGTTATCGCCCGCTCCCCGCGACGTCCCGTGCCCAGTAAGTTTTGTCCGTAAAATTCGTCCCGGAAAAATAAAAATAAAACAGACAGCACAAGGGAGGGATGGGAGGACGGCGCGCCGCAAAAACGGCTTCTGTGAGAAAACGCAGCGCTACCTAGATATGTGCCAGCACCCGAGGGTTTTACCAAGCTGCCACCCACTTCACGCACACTGCGCAAAAGGCCACACCAACCAACCAACTGTTTCCGGGCCCGAGTGCGCGAAGTGCGGGACCAGCCAACCAGCCACGCTGCTCGCAACATGCGAACAAACAAAGGGCTCCAGGCCCCAAATGACGTGTGAGTGTTAGAGTTGTTTGGTATTGCTAAAAATCTCTCTCTCCACATGCGTGTCGCGCACTCACTCATTCATGACCGGTCTCAATGCCCCACCCCCCTGCGCGCGGGCCTTCTAGGCCCGCGGGTAGTCTCCCCCCATTCCCAGGGCCTCCAGGGCTCGCACCTCAACCTCTCACAGACCAGCGCACAGCGCCTTGCGACGTAGTTTTCTTCTCAAACTAGGGCTGTGAAGCACGACGACACAACTGAGAGAGATGATGGGATCTTCACCAAACGCAACAAGTTCAACCTGCTTCTCCACGAGACATTCGGCGGCGGCTTCTCGCCGCCAGCAGTTGCAAAGATCAACCGCCTTGCGCGCAAGGCTCAACGCTCGGGCGTTGACCGCACCGCGTACCCTCCCCACTCCCGCCTCTCATTTGTGTCACACCACGCGGAACGCATCTCCATCGCTTCGGTGAAGGGGGTGAACCGTGCCCTCCTCGATCGCCGTGCAAAGCTCGCTTCCGAGCTCTCACGCCGCGCGTAGGGCCCTTAGGGGC